AGTTCGAAGGGTAAGATCAATGTGATTCTAGGAGGCTCCAAATTTTGTCGAGATTCGATAAGTTCCATCAAAAAACATAGACGAAATTGTCTTACTCAAAGCAAGCTTGAGCGAAGAAGTTGATTTTCAAGGTGCCTCAATATCATTTAACGAAGAAGAAACGCGGCATCTCGAAAGACCGCATGATGATGCTCTAGTCATTACCCTTGATGTTGCTAACTTCGAAGTATCAAGGATCCTTATCGATACAGGCAGTTCGGTCGACTTGATCTTTTTAAGTACTCTAGAAAGAATGGGAATCAGCCGAGGAGACATAGTAGGACCCCCATCTCCATTAGTTGCGTTCACAAGCGAGTCAGCCATGTCTCTCGGAACAATCAAGCTACCGGTCCTTGCCAAGAAGGTATCGAAGATCGTGGACTTCGTTGTCTTCGATAAGCCCGCAGCTTACAACATCATCCTCGGGACTCCCTTGATTTATCGAATGAAAGCAGTCCCCTCTACATACCATCAATGTATCAAATTTCCAACATCAAATGGGGTGGAAACAATTCGGGGAGATCAAGAAGCTTCACGGACGTGTTACTTAGCTAGCCACCGTTTGAAGATCCAATAGCAATTAACAAAGCCCGCAAAAGAAGGACTAAAGCAAAAATTTCCTAGTGGGCAGGAAAAAGAGGATGTAGTAGTCGAAGTGGTATTGGAAGAAGACAAACCAGATCGGAAAGTCCGAATTGGAGCAACTTTGACTGGCCAAATAAAAGAAGCTTTGGTCGAACTTTTAAGGAGAAACAAAACATCGTTTGCATTGTCAGCAGCAGACATGCCTGGTATAGATCCAAATATAATTTGTCACGAGCTAAACGTGGATCCGAGCTTCAAGCCGATGAAACAGAAAAGAAGAAAGCTCGGAGTGGAGCGAGCCAAAATAGTAAATGACGAAGTGGATAAACTTTTGAAGATAGGGTCCATAAGAGAAGTGCAATACTCGGAATGGGTAGCAAACACTGTCGTTGTCAAAAAGAAGAATGGGAAAGATAGGGTTTGCATCGATTTCACAGACCTAAATAAAGCATGTCCCAAAGATAGTTTCCCGCTCCCACATATAGATCGACTTGTAGAGTCCACCGCTGGGAACGAGCTGTTAACATTCATGGACGCCTTCTCGGGTTATAATCAAATAATGATGAACCCCGAAGATCAAGAAAAGACGTCATTTATCACAGATAGAGGTATCTATTGTTATAAGGTGATGCCTTTTGGTTTGAAAAATGCAGGAGCAACTTATCAACGGTTGGTTAACAAGATGTTCCATAATCATCTCGGGAAAACAATGGAAGTCTATATAGATGATATGTTCGTTAAATCGTTAAAGAAAGAGGATCACGTTAAGCATTTAGAGGAATGTTTTGATATTCGCAATAAATATCAAATGAAGCTGAACCCGGCGAAGTGCACATTTGGAGTCCCATCCGGAGAATTTCTTGGTTATATCGTGACAGAAAGAGGGATTGAAGCCAATCCAAATCAAATTAACGCCTTTCTAAACATGCCCTCTCCAAGAAACTTCAAAGAAGTACAACGGTTGACTGGGCGGATTGCGGCTCTGAATCGTTTTATCTCGAGATCAACAGATAAGTCGTTGCCTTTCTACCAAATTCTAAAAGGGAACAAAGGATTCCTTTGGGATGAGAAGTGTGAAGAAGCTTTTGGGCAGCTTAAGGCATACTTAACCACTCCACCTATATTGTCCAAACCGGAAGTGGATGAAAAACTTTATTTGTACGTATCGGTTTCAAACCACGCGGTTAGTGGAGTCTTGGTTCGGGAAGACCGTGGGGAGCAGAAACCAATTTACTACGTGATCAAGTCAATGACGGATCCGGAAACCAGATACACAATGATGGAAAAACTTGCACTCGCGGTGGTAACTTCGGCTCGGAAGCTGCGCCCATATTTTCAATCCCATCCGGTTGAAGTATTAACTAACCAACCACTCCGAACAATACTTCATAGTCCAAGTCAGTCCGGACGTTTGGCGAAATGGGCGGTGGAGTTAAGCGAGTACGATATAGAATTCAAAAGCCGGATCAGTATGAAAGCTCAGGTTCTAGCAGATTTCTTAACCGAGCTACCAATACCTGGAACGATAGAGCATTCGGAGAACCAAACTTGGAAATTACACGTAGATGGGTCTTCAACAAAGCAAGGATCCGGAGGGGGAATCAAGTTGGAATCTCCAACATCAGAAATTCTAGAACAATCATTCCGGTTGTTATTCAATGCCTCCAACAACGAGGCAGAGTACGAAGCCCTGATTGCCGGACTTCGATTAGCACAAGGAGTTGGAGCTAAGGAAATATTGGCTTATTGCGATTCGCAATTAGTAGTTAACCAGTTTAATGGTGACTATGAAGCCAAAGACTCAAGAATAGAAGCGTACCTCGAAGTGGTGAAGGATCTATCTAAAAATTTCTCGAAATTCGAATTAATCCGCATACCTCGGGAAGAGAATACAACTGCGGATGCACTTGCCGCATTAGCGTCAACATCAGATCCTGAGTTGAAAAGAGTTATTCCAGTGGAATGCATTTCGGAGCGAAGCATTCAAGACAACAAAGAAACCCTCGTCGTTACAAGGTCTCGAGCAGCGGCACGCGACCGTGGCGAACCAGAGATCGAACCACCACCCAACAAACAGAGGAAGTCAAGGGGATCAAATACATCTAACAAGGAACCCGTTGTCTTAGCTGAAGATGTGATTCCAGAAACAATATTAGAAATCGAACCGTTAATCGAGGAGGATGTTCTTGAACCAAACGAACATCCCGAGCCAGAGCCACGAGTATTTCACAAGGTTGACCAAATTCCGGCTAAAGACTGGGGGGCTGACTGGAGGGAGCCAATAAAGCACTACATTATGACAGGCGAGCTCCCAAAGAATAAGTGGCAAGCCAGAAAAATCGTTAGCGCGAAATTTTGTCTGTCAAAAGACACATTGTATAGACGAGGTGTCAGTGACCCTTACCTATTATGCATTTTTGGGCCCAAAGTCGAAATCGTTATGAGCGAAGTGCATGAAGGATTATGTGGGAGTCATTCATCAGGACGGGCCATGGCTTTTAAAGTTAAAAGAATGGGATATTATTGGCCCACTATGATTACAGATTGTGTTAAGTTCGCCCAAAGATGCAAGCGCTGCCAACTCCATGCACCATTGATCCATCAACCGTCAGAATTATTCTCCTCCATTTCCGCCCCATACCCGTTTATGAGGTGGTCAATGGACATCTTTGGACCATTGCACAAATCAACTCGAGGTGTACAATACCTTTTAGTCCTTACGGACTACTTTTCGAAATGGATTGAAGCTGAGGCGTATGTTGGTATCAAGGATTCGGCGGTGAAGACCTTTATTTGGAAAAACATTATATGTCGACATGGAGTTCCATACGAAATAGTCACTGATAATGGACCACATTTCATTTCACACGAGTTTGATGTCTTTTGTGCGGACTAGGAAATCAAAGTTAGTTATTCTACTCCACGATATCCGCAAGGAAACGGTCAAGCTGAAGCCGCGACAAGACAATATTAAGCAATCTCAAGAAACGCTTAAGTCATCTAAAGGGAGGATGGTATGAAGAACTCCAACCCGTCCTGTGGGCCTATCGTACAACTCCTAGGCGACCTACAGGAGAAACTCCATTCTCTTTGGTTTATGGCATGGAGGCGGTAGTACCAGCTGAACTCAATGTGCCCGGACTTAGCCGAACAGAAGCACCGTTAAATGAGGAAGAAAATTCAGCAATGCTTAATGATTCACTAGATACCATAAATGAAAGGCGTGATCAAGCTCTAATTCGGATCCAGAATTACCAGCAGGCAGCAGCCCGGTATTACAATTCTAAGGTTAAAAGTAGGCCGTTCTTCGTGGGAGATTATGTATTAAGGCGCGTCTTTGACAACAAAAAAGAAGAAGGTCCCGGTAAACTCGGTATTAATTGGGAAGGACCTTACATTATTACCGAAGTGGTTCGGAACGGTGTTTATAGGTTGAAAGACTTAGAAGACAATCCAGTCAAGCGACCTTGGAATGTGATCAACCTAAAGAAGTTTTATGTTTAAAGCTACATGCATTGTTTATGTACATGAACTACGGTGTGGCTTGATCCCGAGATGGGTACGTAGGCAGCTCGGAAACGAGTTCAGCTATTAATAAAAATTTGTTTTATTTCTTTATTAAAGAAAAAAGGTTCGACTGTGCGAACAAGTGAAGCAAATAAAGGTTCGGCTATGCGAACATACAAGAGATTGGAAATAGAGCGTTTATTCAAAAGACGGAATGTCCCTCATCGTACACTTCGGACTATGAAAATCTTGTTGACGAGCAGAACACTTCAACTCCTTGACCAGCAAGATCGAGGATTGGCATCATGCAGTCCGGACACCGTAGTAAGCCTGCGTTGCATCCGGTTAATCCTCTTCCGGAGTCTCCTCTTTTCCAACATAAGCTTCCGGTGTTGAAGCTCGAGTGCCTCTATGAACGCCGTCGCTGTTCCTTGGTCTCTGATTGGGAGATCCCTAATCAAAGCACATGGGGCTCAGATCTGAGATCTCAAGAAGCCGCGAAGTGGAGAAGGCTGCCTGCTTGGCTCATTTGGAACATCTTCGTTTATCATTCCGATTCTGGAGAAGTCGGGCATAGATTCTGAACAGCGAAGATTGAACTCCATACCTACTAAAATGAAAAGAATGGTGAGGAGTAAAGGAAAATTGAGACTATAATTTATAGGAACGTCATATCCCTAGCAAGCTGCGGATTCTATCCTAAGAATGGAGTGATTCGCGGAGAGATTTATGCCCTCGAACAGATCCTACATTAAAGGACGCATCATCGAGAATATTTGAAAAGTAAGGAAAATTGCAAATGTTTCCATAAATAAAAAGGGGCCGAAGTCCATTACGAGTTCAAAATAAGTGAAGAAGTTAGAGAACATTTATGGAAGAGGCTCAGGAACAGGCTCCTTCATCGCCGGTTTAGTCTTCGAAGTGAACGCCTTGTTCTTGGCATCCACTTCGGGATGATCCCGAACGCGTTTCCGACAGGTGCTGGCCTCCTCCTCGTCTTCTTCCTCGCTATCAGATGGAACGGTATGGACCGGAGCATTTACAGGACCCGGAACTCCTCTAGCACGGAGATACATCCGAAGCATCTTCGGGATCTCAGCAACAGAATCGAAGTTCCGCCATTCCCATTGAAAGGGATCACTTTCCAAAGCCCGTATCTTCCTCTCCTCCCGAGCGATGCGAGCCTCGAGCGTTTGCCTTTTGAGGCCCAGCCGTTGCCTCTCTTCACACAAGCGACGGTGCTTGTCGGCAATCTAGCATAAAGATGAATGAATAAGATGAAACAAAAAGTTTTTAAATCAAAAACTTTAAATATTTACCTTGTCAATAAAATCGCAAGCCTCTTTCTTCTCCTTTGAAGGAAAGTGAAAGACGGCGTGGGGGAAAAGAACGCCGGCCGGTTCAAAGCCATCGCCGGACAAAAAAAGTGGGCTGCCGGAATCAACGGGGGCTACTTTTTCGTTTTCCATTCTTGAAATATTTCTCAAGTAAGATTATAAAATCGTGTTTAAATAAAGCTTAGAAGTAGGTAAGCCTTTATTTATGATGATTTAGGATTTGTCTTGGAACCATAAATCCAATAATGGTAGTGTGTCCGAGTGGTTTAAACCATTTTTTGGAAAATCGAGAAAAGGCAGTTATTGCATTAAAGACGAGCCGTTTTCCTTACTTATAAGAAGGGAAAGAGCAACCGTCGCATTAACTACAAAAGTTTCTAAGGCCCAAGCCCAATAAATTTATCGAGTTGACTAAACCCGAAGTGGGGAACTCGCTTTAAGCCGAGCTCAGTTCTCGCATTCTTAAGAGAAAGGTCTGATCAGCCTAAAAATCTCAAAAGCATAACCACAAGGCCACAAAAGGTTAAAAGCGGACTTTGCAAACCCGCATATAATTTTAACCAAACCCCCTTGGGTCATAACCTAGAAAGGTTTAAAAGCCTCCTCAGGCAAATATCTTGTTCAAAAGAAATGATAAAGCCTCCTTAGGCCAAAAATAAGTTCGAAATTAAGTTTAAACTAAATGGGACAATCCCCAGTTTAAAGTGGACACAGCCACTACGGATCGACCTCCCCAGTCAAGCTCGATAAGTTGGTTGTTCAGGGTATCGGCGGTTGATTCGGATTCATGAAGTCTACCCTGAACACCAGAAAGTTCATCTTGGAGTTTGTAATTCCGGTCGTACTGGTCTTGCAGCTCCCCCTTTATCTGCACAAGCTCAGATGTTAAACTGTCGACCTTGTCCTCCAGATCGTGCTTGGAGCCGGCAGAAGAACTGAGTTCAGCCTCAAGAGTAGAGAATTTCTTCTTCCACATGTCAATCTCCTTCTCCCGTCCAATGACCAACCCTTCGTAATGTTCAATCATGTTGTAAATTCGCTGTGAGCCTGGCATTATATATAAACCCGGGATGGCGAGTCAGTTTGCAGAATGGCAATACATAAAAAAAAAAACAAAGAACGGAACTAACCCGAGATGAATGATGAGCGTGAAGCAAATAGCGTTCACGAATTGCAGGGTGCCACTTGTCGAAGTCTGGCAAGATCGAACCCGATCGGGTCTTGAAGCATTGGAAGACGCTGCCTTCTTTCTCCATAGCTGCGAAGAAGGAAGAGTTGTAAAAATTGGAATCTTAATAGAGACAAAAATGTTTAAGTATGTGTAAGTCACCAAACCTGAAAGCGATTTGATTTGAGGGACAAGAGTAGGCTTTAACCTCAAGGAAGCATCTCGAGATTCAGAATCTCCCTTTTTAGGAGATGCACTGCGAGCAGTCTTTTCGCTGTCGGGCTGGGAAGAAGAAGACATGTCAACAGGTCGAGGAGGACCCATTGGTTCAGTGGGAGGGGATGATCGAGGTGAACGATCAGTCCGGGCCCTTGATTTCTCCCTTCGCGGAGATGAGTCACCACGGGACGACTTGTCCCTCTTCCTACGAACCAAATTCTTAAGTGGTTCGTTGCTGAAATCGTCTCAGGGAGGACGAGGAGAATCGCGACGAGGAGACCGCTCTCTCCGAGGAGAACGTTCGTCATGACGTTCGCGACGAGGTGTTAGCCTATAAGCAGCAACGGATCTGGTTCCCTCGGAGCTGTTATCATCAACCAGCAGGGTCCTGCTGTAATCTTTTTTGTCAATGGCAGCCGCAAGGAACGCCTTGTTTTCATCACAAGCCTCTGCTATCGGCTTGGAGAGTTTCTTACGCTGGGCAGTAAGGGCCCGAGCTGACATGCCCTGAGTTGAGGGAGGAGGCGGAAGACGATGAAGTAGATTGGGAGGACTCATCCTGAGTTTTCGGTTGACCTCGATAAACCGATCGAGGGTGAAAGAATTCCAAAGGGTTTCCCCTTCGAGGATTGTTCTGAAGAACTTGACAAATTCTTCAGTCGGGAGAGTTGAAGCGATAAGAACTGCGAAGTGAAACAACTAATTTGGTCAGTAAAAAAATAATAAAATGAACAGGAAAGGAATATACGACCTAGTCTCTACCAGGCTTCGTAGACCACTTCGATGGGAGTACATCGGAAAGATTCCCAATCGAAGCAGGAGTTTTCTTAATCAGGAACCAAGGATGGTGCCAGTTTTCATCCTTGTTCGGGAGGTGCGAAATGACGTTCCTGTTGGCATTTGGATACGCCAAGAAGTACCCAGTTTTCTTTGATGAACTCCTTACGCTTAGGAGTTCATTCAGCTCGGGGACTCCAATGACGTAGCCAGCCTCCGCCGCAACGGTTATAATCCCGAGGATGGTTCGGAGGAGATTGGGGGTTAATTGAGGTAAAGCAATCTCGAGAGCCGCCAAGAATCGAACTAGGGCTTCGAGAAGGGGGAAGGTCAATCCGCAGCCCTTGAAGTAAATTTCGTAAACACAAAAGTAGCCGTCACGGTGGTTCTCCGGGGATTCCGTAGGATCGGCTATTTGAGCCTCCGCTATAATTCCAGGAGGAATTTGACAAAGCCCCTTTAATCGCTCAAGGGATTGAAGAGTACAGGTGGATTTGTAATGAGGACCGGCGATATCGTTAGGACGAGTGCATTCGTCATTACTAGAACGCCTCTCATCATAAGACAGAGATTCAGGTCTCTCAGAATCAGAAGTCATTGGAGGAAAATGAAAAGTTCAAGGTTCGGCGAAGAAAGTTTCGGCGAAGAAAAGTAGAGAGAAGTTTTGATCAAAGCACAAAAGTAAAAGAAGAAAATGATGGTGAAAAGAAGTTACCTCACGCAAACTAAATGATGAAACCGCCTCGGAAGTTGTGTGGGAAGTGGGAAGGTTTTTCCCGTTTTAATAGTAAATAATTAATATACGGTCGTAATGATGACAGATGTCACTCGGATAAAAATGGCTAGTGCCGAAATTAAAGGAGTGATGAGATTTTCGGCGGGAAATCAGAAAGATTCTCGAGCGCAATCTTTGGTCATTCAAGCATTTAAAGTCCTCCGAATTGGGATGGCACTTCGAAGAACTTGGGGGGCTAATTGTTGGTGTCGGATCCCGCACCAGAAGTTCGAGACCAACCAAAGATTGCCACATAATCAGGGTAGCGGCCCATAAAGGATAAAGCCCATCAGATCCACGAGTCAAAAGAACTATCGAAGTGGTAACTACCATAAGGAAAATTCGAAGTGACTGCATCTCGACACGAGTCCGGAGACGAGGTCATGGTTAAGTCGGTCCAAGGACATTTGGGCCGAAAGGCGAGGCCCATAAAGACCAGAGTCAACTCAAATTCAAACGTTGAGCATTAAAATCAAGGAATCAAAACCGACACATTTAAGAAGGAATAATTGTACTTAATTACTCATTTTAATGTCGTTTCTCTATGTATAAATATGGAGGCCAATGGCCATGTAAAGGGGATATCTCTCTTTTGAGTAAGAAATACGATAGCAATTTTTGTATTCATAAGCCTTTTACGTTCTTATTTTTTGTCCCTCAAGAATAATCTTTCCTACTAATAAAAATACTTGAGTGTGTGAATCCGACATCTACACCAGTGGTGTGCTTTGTCTCCCAGCGAGAAGGGAAACAGACGCAGCTTGAAGCCGTCTTCACTAACACCATTGATCTTGGTGAGGCTGCAGAGCCTATCAAAATTATCCAAGTGATCCAAGGGATCTTCCAGAGGCAACCCATGAAACTTGTTACCTTTAATCATTGAGATCAATCCACTCTTGATCTCGAAATTGTTGTCTTGGACAGGAGGTGGAACGATGCCCTGTCTCTGTTGATGGTTGCGTGGTGCATCACCATCACCAATGTTCCGTGGTATACCAACTCCTTGATTATCTTGATCTTGTGGTTCCATGGCTACTGGATTGTGCGGTTCACAATCGTCTCTGGCTCGACCTTCTCTTAACTCACGAGCTAACCGATCGATGTTATCTTTATAGCTGATGAGGTTGTTGGAGCCTTTAGAACGAGTTTGCATGCAAAGTGGTTAGCCTCGACGTCTAGACTCGACCTGTGGTCGAGTAGAGTACCTGCAGCATAAAAACAAGCAGATGAAATGAAGGGTTAGTAACCAAAGTAAAGAAAGAACTTGATCTTAGCAATTCTAAAATCTTGAATGTAACAAGCAGACACCCAAATGGCAACGGCGCCAAATTGATACTAGGATTTTTACTATCAATTACCCTAGATTACTATCATGTCATTGCAGCAATTTAGGTTATCAATCCAATCAGGTGCTCTAATTATCAATCAAGATATGCTCAGAGATAACTAAGTCAAGCCAAGCAGAATAGAGGGTTGTTTATCTAACAATCCTAAGCGATCATGCATAAAAACGAATAAACTACAGAACAGGAATGAACATGCATAAAGAGAAACAACTATCAAAACTAAGCAGTAATAAGCAAGCAGGTCGAGTAGAACACAGAAGCTAACAGAAACAATAAACGAGCAAGCAATAGAGATAAAGGGTCTTGAGGAATGGGGTAATCGATTATAGCAGTCTCCTTAGTCTATCTAGGTGGTTAACAAACTCAATCAAGCTATCCCTAGACAATAGATTCGAATACAAATCAATCCACTCTCGTGACAGAGATTCTCAAGCTAAATCACTTTCATACTCAATTCTCATTGAAGAAATATAACCTAGCAGGCATTATGATTCAATCTAATAAAGTCAATAAGAATTCTAAACATCCAATCTCTTGGGCTAGAGTATGCAAATCTCTGGAATAGTTAGTTCAGACATTTCATCAAACACCTTGTGGGTGTGGAAATGTCTGAGATCAACTTCCAATTGATCAGAGAGGAAATAGCATTAAGATCTACTAAACCAGAAGGGAAATCAAGCAATTCTACACTTAACCACCTAAATAAACTAAGGATTCCACACCTGATCTAACCTATCCTCAAGAACCCTAATCCACTACTCAAGAACACTGAAGAACATCATGCATAAAAACCCAGAAAACATTTCAAACCCAGAATTCATTAAAAAGCAAGTATGTTATAGATTAG